ATTTGGCCGCTGCATAAATTAGTTTGCTCTGGAGCCGTCCTTACTGAGCCCAGACAAAAAATGTGTGACCCGGAGGCTAAAAAACTGTGAGTTAGCTCACACTAACTCAGCTTAGAGGGAACACTGGTGTGTGTGTGTGGGGGGGGTTTTTGTGAATTCCCTGCATTGTGCAGGGGGTTGGACAAGGTGACCCTGGAGGTCCCTTCCAACTCTATGATTCTATGAAGCAGCCCAAAGGCTCGACTCTAACTCCCGCTTCTCTTCTGTCCCCAAAACCGATACGCCTCCCTTTAGAACGAGACCGACGACAACCAGATCCAACTGGTGGGGGGCGACGTGGAACTCCCCAAAGAGCTGGCCAAGATGATCGAGCAGGATAACGAAGAAGAAGAAGAAAGGGACTCTGTTATCGGACAGCTCACCAATATCCAAACTCTGGACCTCGATTCCCTGAAGGATAAGGCCCAGGCGACGCTGGATGACCTGAAGCAATCAGCAGAGAAGTGTATCCTGATGTGACCTTGTCCGTAGGATTGACTCCTCCCCCCCCCCAACATAAACCTGTTGCATTGTGGGGTGGGGTGCGAGCCGTCAGCCATCTGGGGGGGAATACTATGACGGTGGCGATGGTTTATGGGAACGATCCCACCGTTTCCCACTGAGTTAGTCTTCCCTACCTCCTAGAGACGTCCACCCCTTTTCTTGACTCCGAGTCAAAAGATGTTTTTCCTCGTCCCTTTCCCTGTCTGTGAACTTGGGGTGTGTTTGCCAGTCTCAGGTTAGAGACAGAGTATTGTCTTCCCCACCTGATCCTGCAAATAAGACCTCTCTTCTGCGGTCGAAACTTTACCCCCTCGACAGGGGGGGGGAAACAGAAGCACGGGGGTATCCCAAGATTATGGACCTGGTTGTATACGGCCGGAACTAATTCCACTGGGGGGCAACGGAAGGTCATTTGGCCATCCTGAAGATGTGGCCCAATCTCGTCAGATCTCGGAAGCTAAGCAGGGTCGGCCCTGGTCAGTACTTGGAGGGGAGGCCACCAAGGAAGTCGAGGGTCGCTACGCAGAGACAGGCCATGGCAAACCACCTCTGCTCGTGTTTTGCCTTGAAATCCCTACCAGGTTGCCACAAGTCAGCTGCGACTTGTGGGCCCTTTCCACCCCCACCGGATGCACCTTTGAATATCCAAAAGCGCTTCGTCTGCTTTTTAATAATCTTTACAACGGCCTTGCAAGGGAGGCCAAGGTTGGGGCAAAGGTACGGTTTGAACCAGGGGGGCCTCCTCAACCATAGCTCATTCTCCCTCCGTCAATTTGTTCCTTGGAAAACAAGCCATTTGCCGCCGCCCGTCCCCCCCCCCGCAATGAAACGTATTACCAATGACAAGCATCTCTCCTTTGTGTCTTCCAAGACGTCAAAGGGGCAAGGGGGGGGGGAAGACCCACTCCCTTTCCCCCCAGCACTTACAGAGCAATACGGAGAAACTGCAGCCCTATCTTTTCGCTTCCTGCCGTTTGCACCAGGTACGTTTTACATAGGAAAGGGCCGTCGTGCTCTCCCCATTTTGCAGATGAGGAAAACTGAGAGCGGTGGCACCATCCCACTGGCCCTCTCTAGGCCACGCAGCGGGACAGGAACAGAAGCCAAATGGGTCGGGGGAGGCGCGCCGGCCCCACATGAGTGTCGGTCACTGGGGATTCCTCGGGTCCCGTGATACAACGGGACCCGCCGCCGTCGTTTCTGACAATGGGAGAAGGGGTACACCACCCCATGTGTAACGAATGTGGCAGTCAGTTTGTATGTTGTGATGTGACCATGCAGTGTTGCTGTACCTTCTATGACACCCTTTCGTCCATGGTACTGTTGAGATTGGGGGAATAAATACCAAGAGTTCTCTATGCATTCCTTTGTCCTGACTCTCTGTTCCAAAAAAGGAGACGTTGTTCAACTGCACTACCCTTCCCTTCTCTACATTCCTGTTTCTTTCTCCCATGAAAAAAAAAACTAGCAGTGATATATGGGCCATAGCTTATAGCTTGGCATGCAGAAGAGCCCTGACAGATTGGACCAGTGGTCCATCTAGTCCAGCATCCTGTCTCACACAGTAGCCAGCCAGTTCATCTGGAGGGCCAACAACAAGGCATAGGGTCTGAGGCTTTCATTAGAACCTAAGAAGAGCCCTGACAGATTGGACCAGTGGTCCATCTAGTCCAGCATCCTGTCTCACACAGTAGTCAGCCAGTTCCTCTGGAGGACCAACAACAGGGCATAGAGGCTGAGACCTTCATAAGAACATGAGTCCTGCTGGATCAGACCAGTGGTCCATCTAGCCCAGCATCCTGTTTCACACAGTGGCCAACCAGTTCCTCTGGAGGACCAACAACAGGGCACAGAGTCCGAGACCTTCATAAGAACATAAGAAGAGTCCTGCTGGATCAGACCAGTGGTCCATCTAGCCCAGCATCCTGTTTCACACAATGGCCAACCAGTTCCTCTGGAGGACCAACAACAGGGCACAGAGGCCAAGGCCTTCCCCTGATGTTGCCTCCTGGCTCTGGGATTCAGAGGCTTAGTGCCTCTGAATGTGGAGTTTCTCCAGAGAGTAGGCGATGGCGAAGACCTTGACCCTGCTGCCAATGGCCTTACTCAGTAGCCCTGTCACATCTGTACCACACACGCACGCACACATACGAACAAACATTTGTTTGTGAGACAGAGTGTTTTCGCCTTACCAAGCAAACGGGTGACTAGTACCCAAATCAACACGGAGTTTCAATCACAAGTTCGGCTGTATGTGTGTTGAATGCAACACGAGAATTACTCAGCGCATGCCTATAGAAAAAACCAAGGGTACACTGTACACAGATTGTATATGCGTTCACTGTAATGTGTGAATATGGCTGATAGAAGGCACTGTTGCGTGTTCAATATACTGTAGGCCAGTCTCAACAGAATCCTTTGGGATTTCCATTGGAATCATTGTGAGAGATCCAGCTACAATACGAAGGACCCAGAATCAGAGTCCGGAGGAACCAGGATCCGTCAGTATGCCAAAGTTTTCAAATGTCAGTCCATCCTTGTGTACAGCAAAGGTCCAAACGGCTTTATTGGTGCTGATAGCGATGTTGGGGAAAAGCCCAAACCACAAACCCCTCAAAGCTTTCCCAGAGATGCTCATGCATGGATGTTTTAATGTGGGCACTGATTGGACGGTATCCATGACAACGAAGACACACACACACACACACCACGCTTGGAACAGTTTTGGGAAATTTTAGAATATGCTTACACTCACACGTACAGAGAGAGAGAGAAAGATCCTTTCTTTTCCTTTTAAAAAGGAAACAGCAGGCCAAAGCCGTCTCTCTCTTCCAACAATGGTCAGCCTGACAAAAAGATCCTTTTTCGATAAAAATTGTGAGAACCCTGATGGATTGGAAAGATCCTTTTTCGATAAAAATTGTGAGAAGAACCCTGATGGATTGGACCCCCCTTTTCCAGTGTCCTGTTTTCTGCAGAACTGGGTGGGGTTGCAGAGGCCAAAACCTCTTTTTTTTCCCCTGAACTGGCACTTACAGGTAGGCAGACACTGAACATGGAGGTTTCCCTTCCTGTTTCCTCTTGAAGAACATAAGAACATCAGAAGAGCTCTGCTGGATCAGACCAGTGGTCCATCTAGTCCAGCATCCCGTCTCACACAGTGGTCAACCAGTTCCACTGGAGTGCCAACAACAGGGCACAGAGGCCAAAGCCCTCATAAGAACATCAGAAGAGCCCTGGTGGATCAGACCAGTGGTCCATCTAGTCCAGCATCCTGTCTCACACAGCGGCCAACCAGTTCCTCTGGAGGGCCAACAATGGGGCCTAGAATTATTATCAAGTAGCTGATGTGGGGTGAGGGTTTCTGTCACCCTAGTGCTTGGGGTGTGTGCGTGTCAAAGGTTTCTGTGGCTCAGCAGAAAAGGGAACCTCCCTGCATAGTAATCCATCTAGCAATTGTAACAGGGTATGGAGGTCGAGGCCTTTCCCTGATGTTTCCTCCTGGCTCTGGCATTCAAAGGCTTAGTGCAGGGACCTGGTGACATCAAAAATAGGGTTGTTGTTTTTTAACTTTAAAAAGGCTCATCTTCTTTCACTCCAAAGGGGCCCATCCAAAATTATTATCAACTTGCTGATGTGGGGTGAGGGTTTCTGTCACCCTAGTGCTTGGGGTGTGTGTGTGTCAAAGGTTTCTGTGACTCAGCAGAAAAGGGAACCTCCCTGCATACTAATCCATCTAGAAATTGTAGAGGGTTGGAGGCTCAGTAGCAGAGCACCTGCTTGGCGTGCAGAAGGTCCGAGGTTCAGTCCCCAGCATCTCCAGTTGAAAGGACCATCTCCAGTTAAAACGATCTGGGCAGCAGGTGATGTGAAAGACCTCTACCTCAGACCCTGGAGAGCCACTACCAGTCTTAGTAGACAGTGCTGACTGGGGCTGGGGCTCAGTGGCAGAGCACCTGCTTGGCATGCAGAAGGTCCCAGGTTCAGTCCCCGGCATCTCCAGTTAAAACGATCTGGGCAGCAGGTGATGTGAAAGACCTCTACCTGAGACCCTGGAGAGCCGCTGCCAGTCTGAGTAGATCATTCTGACTTTGATGGGGGTCTGATTCAGTATCAGGCAGCCTTGTGTGTTTACGTCTGCACTATTAATCTATCGCAGTAGGAATTCATGGAACCCACTTCTGCTGCTGCTAGATGAATGGATCATAAGAAGGAGGGCCTGTGGTCTGGCCCCATCCGTGACGGTCATGACCCATCCCGCGACGCCCAAAGAGAGACCAGCTCTGTGGCTTTCTGTCGAGCAGCTCTTTCTTTCTCTAGTGTGAGCGATTCAACATGGCCTTTGGGGAACCAGAGAATTTTCTGTTCTAAAAATAGCCGTGACCTCACTTCTTAACATGAATCATTCTACAAACATCGGGGGGGGGGGGATCCATCTCGGAACAGACCGGCATCCAGCACAGGGGCTTCTTCCAACATGACAATTTCCTCCATGGGAAGGATTTGGGGAGAAGATCCCCAAAGAGGCGTATATTTGGACAACGTTATGATAGCGCCGGAACGCCACCTGGATTTTGCAGGAGGGATCTGTGAAGAGAAGACAGAAGGAACTCAGCATCTGTGCACACAGGTCTCTCCTTCAAAACCAAATTGGATTTTGCCTCTGTTTTCCATAGACCTGTTCCCTGGAAATTCCAAGGGGCTACTAAGTTAATAGGAGCTGCGGTGGCTCAAGAGGTTAAGACGCTGAACTGCAGGCTGTGGAAGGTCGGTAGTTCAGCAGTTCGAGACCCGGGTGCCGCATGACGGAGTGAGCTCCCGTCTCTAGTTCCAGCTCCTGCCAACCTAGCAGTACAAAAGCAAGAAATTGCAAGTAGATAAATAGGGACCACTTCGGTGGGAAGGTAACAGCGTTCCGTGTGCCTTGGCGTTTAGTCATGCCGGCCACATGACCACGGAAATGTCTTCGGACAGCG